GGTTCAGGACTTGAACAGCCTCCTTAGTAGAAGGTGGGAAGGAGTAACAGAGTTAGACATCATCTGCGTACAGGTGGCACCGCACCCCGAAACTCCAGATGATCTCCCCCAACGGCTTCATGTATATGTTGAATAACATAGGGGACAAAACTGAGCCCTGAGGAACCCCACAGTAAAATGGTCGTGAGGCCGAGCAGGAAACTGGCCGATAGTTGATGAATTGAGTGGGGTCCAGTGATGGTTTTTTCAACAGCGGTTTTGTAACAGCTTGTTTTAAGCTGGCTGGAATGTTGCCTTCTCGAAGGGAGGCATTCACCAACACCGTTAAACAACATGGGGGACAATACTGAGCCCTGTGGGACCCCACAGGACAATGGCTGTGGGGCTGAGCAGGAGTCCCCCAGCAACACCTTCTGGGTACGACCCTCCAGGAAGGACTGGAGCCACTGCAGAACAGTACCTTCAAGACCCATCCCTACAAGGTGCCCCAGAAGGATACCGTGGTCTACGGTATCAAAGGCCGATGGGAGGTCCAGGAGAACCAACAGGGACACACTCCCCCTGTCGAGCTCTCTGTGGAGATCATCCACTAAGGTGACCATGGCTGTCTCAGTTCCATGTCCCGGTCTGGAACCTGACTGCAACGGATCCAGATAGTCAGTTTCGTCCAAGAACCCCTGGAGCTGTGAGGCAACCACACGTTCCAAGACTTTGCCCAAAACAAGGAGGTTGGAAACTGGCCGAAAGTTGTTCAAATGGGATCCAGTGATGGCTTTTTCAGCAGCGGTATTATCACAGCCTTTTTTAGGCTCGCTGGAATGTTGCCCTCCTGAAAGGAGGCATTAACCACCACCTTGACCCACTCTGCCGAATCCCCTCTGGCTTCCTTTATCAGCCAGGATGGGCAGGGGTCCATGATGCACGTGGTCGCCCTGCTTCTTCTTTGCCAAAGGATACTCAAAGCACCTAACACTACAAACAGAGGCGGCCCTCGGTAATTTTCAACGGTAAGCAAACAGTACTTTGGCGCCCCTCCCCCCCAACCAATCATTGATATATATTTTCTGTTCGTCGTGGGAGTTCTGTGTGCCATATTTGGTTCAATTCCATCATTGGTGGAATTCAGAATGCTCTTTGATTGTAGGTGAACTATACATCCCAGTAACTACACTTGCCGCACTTGCTCCCTTGCCTGGCCCGCTTTGGGTCCGGAGGCGTGCCTGAAGACCCCGGCGTGTGCACCAAAAGTCACCTCTTCTCCTGACTTTCTCCTCAGCCATTGGGACCAAGAGAGAGAGAGAGAGAGAGAGAGGTGGAGATGCCCACCTTTCCTGAAGGTAGCGCAAAAACAAAGGAGGGAGCGGAGGTGGGAGATACCTCCAGCCGGAGGGGCGCTCTCTCTCTCTCTCTCTCTCTCTCTTGGTCCCAATGGCTGAAGAGAAAGTCAGGAGAAGAGGCGACTTTTGGTGCGCCACGCTGGGGTCTTCAGACACGCCTCAGGACCTGAAGCGGGCCAGGCGCGGCGGCTCCGCCCCTTGGCCCACCCGCAGATTGGGGAATGGAGAGGAGGCAGGTGGAGCACCGGGGGATTGGGAGAGGGAGCCGGTCATGGGGAAGAGATCAAATGCGGAGAATGATTGAGCGCCGGCTCTGCTCGCGCACCCGGTGGCCAGGTGGAGCAGGAACGAGAGGGGCTAGGCGAGGCTCAAGGGCCCGGCCCCTTTGGGAAGAGGATCGCCCGGCAGCGAGGCAAGAAAGCCGAGGCTCCCCCGGACTGCTAGGGCTGTTGTGAGCTGAGGGGGCACTCCTCAAGTGGCAGTCGAGGGGCATTTACAGAGGCGCCTCTGCGCCCCTGGCAAAAAAAAGTGTTCTGCGACCGCTTACTTCGCGTAATGGACGAGCCCCTGACTACAAATCATCCAATATTTATATTCATCATATCATTGGCAATCCCTCGTGTCTGAGCATAGGGTCTTGGTGGTGGGTTTGTAGGTGATTGTGGAGACCTATTCTTGACCTACATATCCTTTCTTCCATAGTGAGGACATCCAGATGGAAGATGATCCTGACAAGGATTAGCATGAGGCGCCTCCTTCCTCTTGATACATTTCTCCCAGGTCCACCACTTTCTTTATACATTTCAGCAGGGATCCCATCAGGTCCACTGGCTTTGTTATTTTAAGCCCATTTATAAGTCTCTTTTCCTGCCCACCAACATTCTGTTTTCCGTTCTTGAGTTGGGAGTATAGTAACTGCTTTGGGAGGCAGTGATCTTTGGGCATTTGGACAACATGGCATTCAGTCCAACGGAATTAATGGTGGAGAATCATGGCTTCAGTGCTGGTGGCCATTGCTTCTTCTTCCAGGATGTTGACATTTGTCCACCTGTCTAATTCCCCAAAAAATTGCAGGATTTTCCAGAGGCAGTGTTGATGAAATCATTCCAGGAGTTGAGTAAAGAAGGGACCCGAGAAGACAGTTTCATCTCGTCTCCTCTGACATCAGAGCCCCTCCCCCAGCAACAATATTATATATAATACTAATATTAAGAATGATGTATTAGTACTATGCTAATAATATAGTATGTTGTAGGTACATATGACTTGTAAGCTGCTGTGAGTCCCCTTCGGGTGGCATATAAATGTCGTAAATAAATACGTGTGACGTCTGTAGATGGTCCACATTTTGTAGTTGTCTATCAAGGTTGGGAGGGCAATGGCTTTATCAACAAGCATCTTGGTCTCCCTACAGATGTCCCGATCCTCAAATGCTCTCTGCTTCATTTGGAAACATGCTGCGCTCGCAGAGCTCAGGCGGTGTTGTATTTCATTGTTGATGTTGACTGTTGTGGTTACCCTGGTAGCGTAAATGGTCAACGTTTTCTAATGTTCCACCATCAAGGTGTATTTCTGACATTGCCTTTTGCTGAAAGAGCATTTTGGTTTTCTCAATGTTCAGTGAGGGGCCAAGCGTTTCGTGTGCTTCAGCAAAGGCATTTAGAGCAGCTCGTAGATCTTCTGAATGAGCACAGACTATGTTATCATCAGCATATTAGGTTTCTATAACAGATGTTGCACCCTTGGTTTTGGCTTTCAGTCTGCAGAGGTTAAACAACTTTCCATTTGTCCGATATATGATTTCAACACCGGTGGGGAGCTTCTCATCAACAAAATGCAGTATCATAGCAACTAAGATGAGAAATAAGGTTGGGGCAATGACACACCACTGTTTGACACCTGATTCCACCTTAAATGGGTCACACTACTGTCCAAGACTGTTGCCATCATGCCATTGTGGAGGAGCCACAGGATGTTCACAAATGTTTAATAAACCCAAGGAATACAAACTAGGCCTGTTTGATCAAGAAAAAATTTGTTTCTAAAATCGATTTGTAATTGGGGTGTTTTTTTG